GACACTTTATGTGGTCTTTGAAAAGCATTTCGATGTATGCAGCTTATCTGATTTATATTTCTTTACTTACCTCTGTTTTTCTCGGAAGTTTCTAAATCTAAAGTTCGGCGGTTGCGAGCGATGGTTACGATATTCGAAAGATGTGGTCATTTGGGTGCGATAATGATTATCCTTATCTAAATGCACGACTCCTATTTGTCACTTTAAGATAGATGACGTGCAACGCATTTGTTGTTATCGTTTGTTTGACTCAGCCTTTCTAGGTATCTGTGTTCGTTAGAAGTTTGGTTGATGGCTAATTTTATTACTACTTGGGGTTGTAGAAAATGAAGCGTACGCTTAGAAAGTTAAGAGAAATGTTAGAGTTCAAGTCAAACAAATTTTTTATTTTTATTATCGTGTATTATATTCTGTTAGGTGGTTTATTGATCTCTGCTTAGTGTTTTTATTCTTAGGACCTGTATATTTTTGATTGTCCTGTTAGCTTGGTCTTGAAGCACGTAGTGCGTGGTGCGTGTTCAGTTAGCGCCTGTAACTCGGTGTTCTTCCTTGTTTCGTCATGTAATTGTCATTCTGTCGGGTAGTGGATACTGCATTCGTGCAAAGTTTTTCTCTTTTTATGCGTTGTACTTCTACCTGATTTCCTTAATTTGTTCATCTTTGCTATCGTTTTTTTTCCCTCTTTTTATATTACTGGTTTTAGAAAACTAAGCTAGTTTGAGTCAGATAATTTCAGAACTGTGTTCATGTCAGGGAAGGTATGTCTCTGTCGTTCCTGTTGTTCATAATGTCAGTTTTATATCACAAAATTTGTTTTCTAAAACCACATCATCTTGCGTCGGTTGTAGATCTCATTATTTTTTATACTTGTATCTTGCTCGGATGCGTTTGACCTTGTAGTATGATTCATTTATGTCGCGAAACTTGGACTGTACGCCGGACAGTCGGGCCGCTGAGCACAACAGTTTCGGTTTTTGATGTTTTGGTAATTTTCTCAGTTTCTATAGCAGTTTGCTCAGAAATTAATTCTGGCTAAAGCTGCTATGTTTATAAGGTGCAGGCAGGTCCTTTTTTCATGTTCAAGTGTACATATACATGAGGAATAGTATTTCAGAGCTGCATGCGTGCTGTTATTCCACTTGTTTTTTCTTTTTTTTTTTTTCAGATCTTTTTTTCTCGTGTTTTAAAATTCAAGAGCTGATTGTACTTGGTTTTTCCCTTTGATTTACGAAGGGATGCTTCGGGGCTCTAATTTGTCAGGTAGCTTCAGCTGTTTTCGATTTTATCTTTTTTTTTTTTTTCAGCTAGTCATAATGAATGGTGAAGCTACTTTACTGTGCTGATTGTATGAAGAGCAGTTAGTAGTCTCTTTTTCTTTCTGTTTCTTCTGGAATGGCTTAGTGGATGAAAAAATGGTTTGCTTAAGTTGAAAAGGTTGTCAGAGTTTTATTTTTGCAAATTGTATCTCGTGCATTCGCGCCTCTCTTCATACTGTGTTATGGAAGACATGTTGGTTTAGGTTTTCTTTGCCGCAAAACTTGCAGGTCGTCTTTTTTTATAAGTCGGAAGTTTGACTGGGATCCCTCAGTGGCGCACCCGGTTTCTAGAGGCTACTTTTTTTTTTTGCTATTTTTTAAATCTTTCTATCTCATTGTAGTTTGTTTTTTCTTTCTCCCGTCACGAAATAATTCCTGTTAATAAGTAGTGTTATTTGTTGGGTCCCTTCTTTATCCGCCTAATATGTACACTGCCTTTTGTCTTGCTGCTCATACTTCAAAAATCCCGTAGTTTTTTTAAGGACAAAATAACTTTGTTTTTGACGTACAGTTTCTGGTTTTTATGTTCGGACACCATTCAGATGTTTTCTTTGCAGTTTTAGTCGGCTTCTCTTTTCCTTTCTGTTTTTTCTAAGTCTTTTAAATTAATAATGTTTTGTTCTTTTTTATCTTCTGTCCGTACTGGATTTGTCTTCCTTTCCTCCCCATTTATCAGTTGTTTAAGTCACATGTATGACTAGGTCGGCAGTAAATGAAGCGGGTGATTTCGCTTTTTGATTGCGATTTCGCTTTATACTTTTTTTAAACATTTTTTATAATTTTTGCTCGTTGTTGTTGTATTCAGATGGTCCCTTTAAAATTATTTTGATGGTGAAACGCTTAAATTTCTAAGAACATTGGTTACAGTCCTTTTACTTCTTTCATGGGTTGTTGTTGTTTTTCATCATTATTGCAGATTGCATTTCATTATATTCTTGTCGTTATAGTAGTTGTGGTTAGTTATTTGTGACAAAAAATTCATTGGTGAAAATAAGTGTATATTATTTCTTCGTTTCTTCACTCAAGTAATGTAGCTACTTATCGTTTGTTAGAAATTTCTGCGGTTCACTAGTGGGGAATCTCTGAAAACAATTGCATTTGCAATATCTTGCTGCCAGTACCACCAGCTAATAGGCCAGTTTTGCAAATTGCTTGAATTCGTTTCATTTGCTTTTTTCTTTTTGCTGTGTTTAAGCAGAAGGAAGTGTATTAGCAAAAATTGTTATTCAAATGGGAGAGCAAATTGCACCGAACTGGCCTGCCAATGTCAAAATGGTTTGCACTTTTTTTTTTTTATTGGAAAAATCTCCATCAGCTTTCTTGCAAACTTTTTGACTTCGGAGCAGATTGGAGTTTACTCCTTGTCTCTTGATTGCGATTTAAGACCAGCAGTAAAGTTACCATCTTTCTTTCAAAAGGGGCCTGTCAGATACTTCTGGTCAGGCTTGAAATCCCATCATTCTCCTTATTATGTCGGTATCAAAGCACCTTTTACACTGCTTCTGCAGTGGCTTTGTGCGGTTTAGTCAATAACTCGAGTGTTTATCCGACGTGTAAAATTGGAGTTGGTTGATATCATGAAGTGGTTTCCTTTTTAAAGTACTCTTTGTATTTTTTGTTTATTTTGGATTAATGAGTAGTAACTTTTTGAAACTCCTTTACTGTTAATGTAGTGGTCTCAAGTTTTATTTAAAATCGTTCTTGTAATACTCTTCTTCTGTATTTAATCTCACCGACTTTACAAAAAGAACTAACTGGTTTGAATAAACTTTTTGGAGCAATGGCTGATTACCACGTTTTTTGCATTTGTAGCCAATTGTATTTCATTTAAACTGTTGTTAAAGAACAGTCGTTGTGTTGAGCTCCACACTGAAACTGAAAAACATGGTCTCTGACACTTGCTAGCGATGGGTCTGCCGCAACGCCGTTGGTCACGGAACTGCATTTCGTCAGTGACTCGTGAGTTCAGAGGCTTGATAGGATCGTGTTGGGGAAGTATCTTCAGCCGTCGCTGGCAGATGGTTTCGTCGCGTTGACTGCTGTTTGGGGTTGGTCTGGAAGTGGCAGCTCTGTCGACTGCGTCACAGTTTGTATCGCACGTCCGGTTGACTGGAGGGATGAGCTTTTGAGCAGTGGAGGTGGCAGTTTCTTGTTTGTAATTGCTCCTCTATTCGACATCAACAAGTATTAGATGTTGGTGTTCTTCCTAGTAGTTTGCTCGTGCTTTTCACTGTTTTGGTGCTGAATTGTTTGGTACTGGCAGAACCCCTTGTGTCGCGTTCAGCTTTTAGATACCGACTAGTACGGAGTGTAAACGGCGATAAATTGACGAATGAAATTTATTGGTCACGGATGCCGCAGTACCGTCAACAAGTCGTTTGGGACAAGAATAGAGGGCAGTCAACATGGCACGAATAAACGAGCCAAATGCAAAGTTTTTGTTCTTGGATATTTCTGGAATTATTTCCATAATGTCCCATCCCGCGACCACGCTAATGAAGTTGTGAGAACCAGTTTCTTTTATGGTTGGGTACCTTGCTATAAAGGCAGGCTACCGGATTCGAATTTAAGGCTGCTGACTGTTTCCAAGGTGAAACAATTTTACGTTTGAAATGTTTAAAAGATTGCCTGAGGACCAGCTCAAAGAAGAGTGGCAAAACGACATCAAGGCGACTGACATTCACGGCCAATTCAAATTTCTTAGTGGCTGCAGACTTTCATTTTAAAACTGAGTTTGGCAGATTACATAAGGCCATTCCTTGAGGAAGAGGTAAAATAATGAGAGTAACATTTTTATACGTTTGCTAAAACTGGCATGCATTCGAGGTGATGAACGACAGTAAAGCTGTGTTGGTTTAAGTGGTCTTAATGGTTTTTTCAATGGAATTCCAAAAACTTTACTAATTTGAACAACAAACACATCTCTTCAACACTTTTGCCTTTCGATACTATTACGGACTAGCCTTCATGACTGCAACTTTCGGGGGGTTTTCCCTGAAATTATTGCTGAAGAATTTGAAATAGAAATGAGACTACTTGCTACGTCTGCTGATTAAAAGATGACTTACCCTCATATTCTGTATTAAAATACGCAGGTTTCCTATAGTTCATTTGAAGTAATAAGCTTTGAATGTTTTAAGTCATAATATGGAACAGCTCTTCTAGTCGGTTTTGGGGACCTTTTTTGTCTCCTAATTATGCTGGATAGTTGTGTCTTCAACCTTCAGCGGTTCTACACGGACAACCATTAACTAAAAAACCAACTGTTAATCAACCCTTGAAAATCGCTACAAGACGAAACGCAAAAATCTACTCAAAACCCAATGATTACGGGGTGTATTTTTAACAAATTCAATTCGTACCTTTACCAAAGCAGAGTTGATTGGAGTACCGCATGCTTTTACGCATTTATTCAATTCTTCCTCATGTCTAGATTCCCAAATGTATTCCTAAGCCACAACTTATTGGAAAGTCTTTCAAAATAATATGAAAAAAAATAAAAGTTGATGAAGTACCGAAATCCGTTGTTTCTTCAAGTTGGCACCACTGCACAACATTACTCGAAGAACCAATCTTCGTTCTGAAACAAGTCACTTTTAAAACACCATAGACTTTTCAGATTTCAAGTGCAGACTGGATCTAGTAAACTGCCAAAAGTATGTCGTGGAAGTTTCGTTACTCTTTGAAAGTGCTTTGAACAACAGTTTAATGCTAAAGAGGAAGTTGATGGGATTGGCAATTAACTCAAGGATAAAAAAGAACAAAAATCGTTCAGGTAACAAGCCAACAAGCCGGAAAAGCTAAGTCACTTTCAACAGGACTAGTGAACAATGATCAAAATCAGCGGTTGCGACCGACCTTTTGATGTACCGGATGGCTCCGTTGGTTGACATTGAAGCTGCACCAAAGATTTCTCAAATAAACCTTGAAGTTCCAGTACATGTTCCCCGAAATCTTCACTAAACATTTAATTTCTTAAAGAGAATGATACAACAACCCTGATCGAATCCGAAAAGTATTTTTAAGCACAAATTATAGCTGTAAGCCACCTACATGTGTCGGTGCCCAGACGCAGAAGTTGGGTAAAACCTGACCACATAGCTTGCAACAACAGATTCATTAGCGTCTACTACTTGGATTGAGACTTTTTTTAGCTTTGAAAACGTTAGCCACCTGAAGATGCTTCTTCCACATCTCTCAATGTATTCAGTTATTTCCTGTTTTGTACACTGCTGAAAATGTTTTTTTGCTTGGGCTTGATGCAAATTCCAAACTAAACTTAATTCTGTCATCTCTACCTGTATGAGAAGCGCTCCGTAACGAATCGTCCGAAAGCACTGTTCTGAATAACCGCCATGTAGGAACACGACTGTGTGGATCAGATGCTCGAGATAGCTAAGGACAACCTTGGCCAATTCTAAAAACCAAAATCTGGCGAAAAATATACTGTGCAAAGTTTAATTATCTGTGATGGGTGACTGTTGTTTCAATCCGTCATACCAACATACTCAACTACTGCCTGCTCATTTGACAAACCACACAAACCAATCAAGACAGGGTAGCAGTAAGCATTGGCGTTAACTCAACAAAAACCATTTCCCTCAGTTGTAAGAACCATAACTGCAGCCGAACCGCCAATCACGTTACGGCTCTTTTTAAAACACCAATTCTCAGTCCTACGTCGCAAAACAACACCGCTCCTGAAACTTCCTTGCAAACTCACCTCTTCGACTGTCAAATGCGTGACCACCCAAGACAATCAGATCGTCGGAGAAGTACCGCTGTTTCGGGAATGGACAACCAACGCCTGACCACTCCTCCTCATCACTCCCCAATCTGTCAGTCATTTAATCAATTATTGCACTCTCTCAGCAATACCGAACCACTCGTGCACCGCCGCTAACCAAACACGTACACAAACACACCGCAGACTTCGGACACGCCAAATGACCTGACAACCATTCAGTTTGCATCCCCATTTGAGAGAAATCAGCAGTACAAAACAGACAACCAAATCCTCCAACCCTAGCGACAAAAAATAAACCAAATGGCACCAAAATCGAACTACAAATTCCACCGCTTAAAACACAACTAGCGGTCAGAATCATCACGAAAGCAAAGTAAAAGCTGGACAAAGCCCACTTGCAGTACAAGGTATATTTCTGTTGTTCTGCGGTAAACAAAGCATTCGAACATACGATTAATCGGAATTTGAAAACCACAAAACAATATCCAAAACTTCATATTGTCAACAACAAGATGACGCTAGAAAAACAAATTCCTACCAGTCTCAGCACGACATATTGAGTGTTAAACGGGGAAATAAAAATGATTCCAATAACAGGCAACATAGAAAATTAGAGGTATGACAATAAATATAAAACCAATGCGATAAAAGCATGAGAATCGATGCAAAATAAAATTGACGAGAAAAACGAACTTTGAAGCAGAATTGTGTGGAAGTGAACGGAAAAAAATGACAAATGCAGTTCCAACAACTGATGATATTACTCATTAAATTAAATATGGAAAGTACCGCATTACTGACATCGCAAGCAAAATATTTAATATCTAGCAGAGGGGTGAGACCAGACTTTATGAGACCAACGAGGATAAAACCCCCAAGCCTGTTCCCTAAAAACCAAGTAAAGGTAGAAACGAACAACTTTAATCAAAATCTCTGCACGAACCCAGATCAAGATGGCACACTGGAAAACTGACACGTTAACCACTAGGATCGGCAACTTATCATTCAGTAATAATAGACACTCCGGACCGATACGAGTCTTCTTTTTCCAAACGATTTTGATTTTTTGTAACTTTTAATTTCAAACTCAAAACACTTTGTAAACAGATTTGGGTACTACGAACAAAACAATCAAATAAAAACGCTAAAAAGTAAAGACAAAACAGTAATAACAACAAAGGTGCACAAAACGATATTTAAAAAGATGACATATTAATATCCGCTGAAAAGTCATCGCCACCAAATTCCCTCTTAATTGCTGGACCACCAACACCATCCCCCGGCCTTTTTGCACCACGAGGAGCTAGACTACCCCGGCCACCACCACGGATGCCCCTTCCTCGTCCTGCAGTTCCCCTCGCAGTAAATCCACCCTAAACAAAAAATTATGAATTCTAATTAACCGCGAAGACTAATCAAAAGAAGTTCGCGAAAACGTACTCCCATTCCGCCACCTCTTCCACCGCGCATGCCAACTGGAGGTGCTCCATAACCATACGCATATGGATCTGGAGTGTAGCCATACGGGTCATAACCACCGTAACTTCCATAACCAGGAGTACCACCGTACCCATAAACATCATCGTATCCAGCTGAAATGAACGGTGTCGTTAGATACAACATCTTAAAAAAGTGATTCTCACACTCCAACATCGCGACCTTACAAACAACTAACCGTATGGATCATACCCACCATAACCGTAGTCGGCTCCGCCAAAACCCCCCCGTCCACCAAAACCAGCACCGCCTCTTCCTCGAGCTCCCCTTGCTCCAAAATCGCCGGCACCGAATGCCCCCGGGAAACCTCGGCCACGACCTCTCATCATCTTCTTCTTATCACTTTGCGGCTTGGCTAGGGATATGTCAATAGCTACTCCTTCCAGAACAGTGCCGTTTAAAGCTTCCATAGCCTAAAAAATGAAAAACAAAAGAAACTGCTAATCCAGTTAACCAGTTGAAGAGAACAAAAATGAATATTTGGGAACAAAGAAACAAACTTTTAAAGCTGGTTCTCTTTCCATAAAATGTATAAATGCGTAGTCTCGAATCTTCTTCGCCCGATCAACTTCACCATGTGCAGAAAACATTTCCTTTAACTGCTCTTCAGTAACAGCTTCCTTAAGATTCCGAACATACAACACTTTCACTTTAGACATGGTTTCTTCATCAGGTTCCTCTTGTTGTTCAGCCCAATCCACAACCAGGTCGGAGTTCCATGGCCTTATCTAAACATACTTCAGTTAAATGAGTAAAGTTTAAAAAATAATTCCAGTTTGATTAGGCTTACCTTGCCCGCATGGATCTTCCTTTTTGCATCCGAAGCCGCCTTGTGGTCAAAGAAATCTAGGAAACAGAATCCACGATTCTTACGATTCTCACCTCCATCAGGACTCGAATATATGATGCAGTCAGTTACGCCCTCTAAAAAAGCCAATTGAAAAAAATCTGCTGCAAACTGTGACATCAACTTACCTGTGCTACAACAGAACCAAGTGCTAGCTTCCACAACCAAAAGGAGTGATCGAAACACAAGGCAAACGCCTGCGCTTTTCTCCTCCACTAAGCCTGCCTCTTCCCAAAGTTGGTAAAATCACGAAAATCATTTTTTTTTTTTTCGTCTAGCCAAAATTTACCTGCATGTTGTTTAAATTCCTCAAGAATTTCTTCTTTTGACTTCGATTTTGGAATGTTTCCAATAAACAGTCGTGTGTTGGCAACGCTGACATTCACTTTCAGATTTTTTCCAGGCACAATTTCGTAACCATCAAACTAGAAAACAGAATTCGAATCAAAAAAAAGCGGAATTTTCCCGCTAGAGGTAGTTTGTGTGGTGACCAGAAACAGACCTACCACGGAAGAAAAAACCCGACAAAACTCTGCGAAATGGAATCATCCCAAAAAGTAACTAAACACCCCTTCCACAAAACCTCAACCCCTAAAACCGAAACAGCAGAAAAAAAAAGAAAAACACTGAAAAGCGCGTAAACAGCAACCGCGTAACCAAAAAATCAAAACTGTGACTAATAAAATGTACGCTGATAGGAGCCATAGCACAACAACAACAATAACAATAACAATAACAAAGGAAGCCAAGTAAATGATTTAGATATAAGAAAAACAATTTGCAGTTAGTTCGTATGAAAGTAAATCCTTTTTACTGAATTCCATGCGAACGTTAGGCGAAAATTCTATTAAAAAGTTACAACGAAATTTCGCGTAACTGCAAGAACCTTGCTGAAACAGAGCAACAGAAGCCCTATACTACCTTCTTCGCAGCTTCCGCAGCATGAGCCTTGTCACAGTAAGTGAGGAACGCATATCCGCGGTTCTTACAAGCGAGGGGGTCCATCATAATCCTCAGGTCCCAAATCTTTCCAATCTCCTCGAAAAGTGGGATGAGTGTGTCTTCATAAATTTCCTTTGGTATCTTCCCAATATAAATCTGAACAGTTACATATGTAATAAAGAAAAGAAACTGAGGAAAAAAATACGTACTTCATGTCCCGATCCCGCCGGTCCTGTTGGCGGCCCATCCCAGTCTGGAGGTGGTCCCCCATATTTGCGTTGTCCAGTGGTTACCTCCATAGTATAACCCGTTCGATCCAAAATCTCTTTTATTTTTTCCTTCGAGGGGCCATTTATAAGTGGTTGAGACAGAGCAACCTGAGTGCCTAACTGACGAACCTTATCACGGAAATTCCGCATAATAGACATCAAGAATTGTGGTTTGTTTATAACACCTATTAAGTTTGCTTCTTTGAGCTGCAATAAAAATCTGTATCATTCTCAAGCACCGGAAATTTAACTTTCTACTCAGTGCAGGTACCCACCTGATTAACGATAAAAACTGCATGATCAACTGGGAAGGACCGAAGCATCTCAACTACACGGTCATCTACATCTTCTGGAGTTAAATCAGTAGCTTCATAAAGCTGAATTAAGGCGACAGCGACATCAGCCTTTAAATTCTGTGCTCGCAAGTTTTTATAAACCTCATTTTCCGCATAATCTGCATTCTCTTGACTGCTCTAAAAGTTTACCAGTTAAATTCGCCGAAACAATCAGGACAATGAAAACGGACGTCCACGAAGTCCCTACCTCTACAGCCGTTGTATTACCACCGTTTGAAGTTTCCATCTTTTCACCTTCAACAGCTCTTCCGTCAGACCCATTTTCGAGAGGAGCTTGAGCTTCTTGCTGCTCCTAAAAATGAGCAAAAACAAGCTCTTGTTTCTTATTAATTAGAAACGAAATCTTTTAGAGAAGAAAAAGCAAGCGTCAGCCAAGCCTGCGCTAAATTATAAGGTAACGACACCAAAAAGTCGTGGGATTCAACAAGACCGAAAGAGTGACCTGCAAAAGAAAAAAAACTTACAGCTGTTGAGGTCTCCATCGTAGTATCGGTCATTCGCTCTCGCTTCCCAAGTCGAAATAAAAAAACAACTAAAAAAGATTATTCCATAATTTGGGCTTTTATATGAATATGCCTCGTAACAATTCATTAACAGTAAGTGGAATTTTAGGATGGGCAAAAATGTCGGAGGAACTCGATGAAAAATAAATAATCAATAAAAACAAATTCGTAAAGGGAATTCATAAGCGGTTCAAATCACTAAACAGAAAAATACGTTCTGTAAAGAACAGCGCAACAAAAGTAAAGCTAGGGCGGAACACGCCGCAAAGTAATGGGAAAAAAAGACTGTAATCGAAAATTCAAGACAAAAGTGCAAGTAACATTGCAACGCCTATGAACCCAAACAGTGGCGTTGCAACTTTTGGCGCGAACGCTTTCGCAGACGCGTTGCGTTCGATCAATGTCCATCTATTTTTGGAATGGCTATTCGAGCATTTTTGAATTAAGAATTCGATTTATAGTAGCTAAAAATTTCTCGGGAAGATTTACAATTAATTATATTGTGCTGCAGTGCTGATCTGTGTACCAGCGTTTTTTACATCTTCAGCACACAAATTGTTTAAAAGTCATCTTAGGATTACTACAAAAGGTGTTGCACAAAGAAAATGGAAAAAGTCTGAGTGGTTTTTAATTTCTTCTTTTTGCTTACTCTGCCCCTATTTCTGAGGACGTCTGTAAGAGGCTTTTACTATGACTTTTAATGGTACTTCCTTATGGACAACAATCGTTATAGTTTTCTTTGGTTTAAGAATGTACAAAAGTAACGACTGTATGATTCAATATAACCCACTGGTATCCGCAGTCCGTAGTTCCTCGAAAAATTAATGATTTAGTTAACTATAAATCTTAGACGTTCGCTAGTTTCATCAGTTTGATAACATTACCATAGGAATCCCCAGTCGTCAATGGACGCAGCTCTTTTCAAACGCGCTATAAAATTCCTGAACCGCAGTAATGAACCAGAATAGGCTTGTTAGTCTCAGCAAATAACAGTGTCGTAAGTGCTGAAGCCAAAACAAGAGGTGAATTAGAAGGAAGTATGCTAGAATGAGTTGAAAGTTCAAATATGAGACTAAAATGGAAAGAAACAGTGGGAATGAAATAGGATAAAAGTATGAAATTGAGCTGGAAAAAAACGTTGAAGTGTAAAATAAGTCGTAATAAAACAAAATAAATGAATAAATAGGATAATTCGATGTAAAACTGATTAAACTGACGGGGAAAAGGAATATGAAAGTGAAATAAAGTGGTTACTGCTAGTGCTCCAAAAGTAGACGAAGGAACTACAGCGAGGATCAGCCACATTGGAAGAGAAGAAAGTGCTGAACATTGGATAAGGAGCAGTGGCACAGCGATATAGGAGGTCCGTTCATTCTGTTCTCACCTTTTCTGTCCGCCGTGTAGCAGAGGTTATGGTTTGCTGTATATGGTTTATTACTTGTCGTTCCTCACCGGCTTTGGTAGATCATTGGTCCTCATAGAACAATATATTCTGCTATGCCTTTTAACAGAATATGTGAAGAGAAAAAAGATTAGCGCGTTTTTCTCGGACAAAAAAAAAACTATTTGAGGTGGCCGTTTAGTGTCTTCAATTTTTTTGTCTCATGTAAAACTCGCAAATACTCCACATTTAGCTGATAATTTTTAAAGAGGTTTCGTCGTAGAAAACGTCGTAAAACTTTTGCAGAGCAACACTTTTTAAGTTGATATGGCTGAACACATGCTCATATCGTTTTCTGATAATCTTAGTTTTTGCCTTCGATTCCTTTGAAGTGCTGTAAAACTGAATGCCTGTAAAGGCTTGACCTCAAAACCTATCAATCGCTGGAAAGTGTTCGGTTAAGGTCAACAAATAAATTTTCTGAAACAGCGCAAAATGGATGTGAATTGGCACAAAAATTTCGATTTAAGCAAAATCATCTGTATCTATTGGTACTGTGCCTAAGTTTGTTTTATTTTTCATTCGCAGCTATTTCGCTGTCAAATTCATCATCGACACAGTTACACTTTTTTTAGTGACAAATTGTAACTGGTACCTTCAAAACTTTTTGTTAAAATATAGCTAGTGAAGAGAAGCAGACTTGTTGACTTTAAAAATTAGTAAAGAGTTGTTATAGAGAAGACAGCCTCTCTTCTCATTTAAGTAAGATAAAAAATGGCTTAAAATGCATGACAAAAATTCTCGTTTTTTTATTATTAGAATTTCAGTCTTACTTTTGACTTAAAATTTAGCTAGGAAGCTAAAATATAGTTATTCATCTGTGTGGCGGTTTTATTGTTTCTGCTAGGTTTCATAAACAATTGGACTTTTTTTTTCCAGGGACTACCTCTGCCCTAAATATAAGCATAAGTTGTGCTTGGCCGCACAAGGCTGTAATATACCATAAAATTTTCGTAAGCTTTGTTAGTAGCAATTTTAAGACTGCATATCGGCTTAAGCAAATTTAATTGTTTTTGGCAGCAATAAAAAACTGTAATGATGTTAGGTCTACAGAGAAAGTTGCATTAGATTGTTTGGGCAAGTCAAAAAGACGTAGATTTGCAAATATTTTGTTCAATAACAGAATTATTAACCTTATCTCATGATGTATTCCGGTTCTGTATAGTTATGTTTAATTCTAGTTCTCCGCATTTACTGTCACGATGAAACCGAATGCAGAGTATGGAGTATTTCTAATCATTGATGAAAACATCTTTTGTTTCCACTCGCAGTATTTTTGTACTTTTTGCTTGCTGTAATCAGTTGCTCGATCAAACTTGTTAGTATATTGATAAAAGGTTAACTAAGTAAAGTTGTTCATCGTTATAAACATATTACTTTTGTATTGTTATCATGACAGCGGAATGATTGCTTATACCGTTGTATTAATCTTCTGATCCATTCCCTACTGATAGTGGTTTCAGTTTATCAACCATTAGAACCGTGAATGACTGAGAATCAGTGAAGCGTAGAGGTAAATGGTTTACGCCTTGTAATCTTTACCTCTACAACGTACATTGAGTATGACTTAAGGAAAACAAAAAAGGTTTTATATAGAGTCAAAGGAAATGCAACATTGCATTACTAGAAAATATTTTTTTCGACAAGCAGCACTGAAGACAGTGAGTCGTTTTCGAGTAGCCATTTAACTACTTGTATAATAAACCAATCTATTTCGTGCGCCAATTTTGAGACTACATTAACATTTTTAACGTGGAAGTCTCAATTATCTTCAGACATTTCCTGCAGTACCAATCCACATAAACCCGAAACTGGTATATGCCTTCGTAGTTAAGAGTGAATATGCGGTTAGCAGGAATTGAAAACGTCAAAGTAAACAACTTTCATTGAAAACTATGCCAAAAAACTTTTGGTCATCAGAAAGCGGTATGTCGGCGAAATCCGTAATCTTTTGCAGTGCCTATTAAGATTACCAAAACCTTCATTTCGTTTGTCTGATTTTGCATTGGCTTTTATCAGCACCTAAGACTGGACCACTGCTGATTTAAAGCTGCTTAGATAGAACGTGTTCACCGGTGACTATTCTCACTAGACAGGATACTTAACAAGCGGCTTACACATATAACCATAGACTTACCAGTTTCATTTCCCAACATCAGAGAAGTATTTAACAAGATAACAAAGAATACAGTCACTAACGGCACAGACATTATGCCTCATCAAAACCTTGACTGTCAACTTGAGATCGATTACTTGACCGTTAGCGATTTTGAAAGCTCGACACTTCCTCTCCAACATACTTCTTAATACGATTTATGGAAATTTTGAAAGAACTTTTTGCGAAAAATTTAATCGATCATTCCGTACCAATCAACAGTCTCTACAACTAATTTATGAAAAACTGCCCTGCTTATTCCTTGTTAGCAGCAAACGCTTCTTTGATTAACTATTTCTCCAACCTTATTCCTTGGAAAATCACGATATATACCGATCTAGACTGTTATCAAACAAATTTTAATTTACAGTCAACAGGTGCTTTTTGTTGCAGTTGAAATGACATATTGTAATTTTCTGCCTTACTCAAATAATTCCTTCGGAACAGAGCGAGCATTGAAGATTCAATTCGTCAACCAAGTCTTAAATTACAGCAGTACAGTTAGGCACCCATTCACCGTTAAACGAACGTTCCATTTTTGATAATGTGCATTTTTCGTAACACTAAAGTGCATAGCCAAAGGAACCAAAAATGAAGTGGTGTAGTTTCTCTTTATGACGGTAAGGATTCTGTTGCGCGATGAAATTGTTACGGTCTATGATGATGACCAGAAGAAGTACACACGTCCTATGAAAACTTTCTCGCTGCAACAATTTTTGCAAACACTTTAAGTACAAGGAATTTCACAGGTATCACCCAAAAAATATAATAAAATTATCGAAGAAACACGTTGGACATTTTTTGTCACATTTTGGCTACTCAAAATCTATCTGTGCCGGGTTCTCTACTCTTTACAGCAATTCCGAAATAGTAAGATCAGAATGGAATGTACAGTCAAATTTTTAAAAAAAATAGTTTTTTTTTCTTTAATGAATTCTGCAACTTCAGTAATATTAGTTTTTTTTTCTCTAATGAATTCTGCAAGTTCAGTAATATTTGGTTACATTACGCCATAACCAATCATTGCTGTGAACTGGAAATTTTTTAGTGTCATGTGGAAACAATCATTACTTTTTGCATATTCCGGTAATAAAGCTCCCGTTTCTGTTACCAGCCAGTTTTCTCCAACATTCCTTCATTGCAGATTTTTCCATACTTCTTCAGTTGAAATTTTTCCTTCTTTTATCCGATTTCTTACTTTTTCAACAGACTGTGTCTTACTAAATTTGTACTTTAAATCCTTCTTTCTTTTTAAAAATCTTTTTCTCAATGCGACACGCTTTCAAAATCTTATTCCCTTTCATCACTCCCTTGAAGTCTTCCTCTTGATCGGCTCGTTTCAGTGAACTGATTTCTTTCGTCGTGCTTCCGTCTGTCAAAGTTCAAAACAGAAAAGCT